TTTGAATTAGGCTCGGGAAATTCTCATGGAAGAATCAAATGTTCAACCCGTAAGGTGTCCTGTTACAGTTTGTGGAGATATCCATGGTCAATTTCATGACCTTATGGAACTTTTCCGTATTGGTGGTAATTCACCCGATACGAATTACCTTTTTATGGGAGATTATGTTGACCGTGGATATTATTCCGTTGAAACTGTAACCTTACTCGTTGCACTCAAAGTTAGATATAGAGATCGAGTTACAATTCTTCGGGGGAATCACGAGTCCAGGCAAATAACCCAGGTATATGGGTTTTATGATGAATGCCTTAGAAAATATGGCAATGCAAATGTGTGGAAATTTTTCACCGATTTGTTCGACTATTTGCCATTGACAGCATTAATTGATGATCAGGTTGGTTAAATCAAATTTTTATTAACTATTTCTTTATATTATAATGATTAAATAAATAAAATAATTAATAAAAAATTTTAATAAATTTAAGATCTTTTGTCTTCATGGCGGTTTATCTCCATCGATTGATACGCTGGACCATATTAGATCTTTGGATAGAATTCAAGAGGTACCTCATGAAGGACCTATGTGCGATTTGTTATGGTCCGATCCAGATGATCGATGTGGCTGGGGAATTTCGCCTAGAGGTGCTGGATATACCTTTGGACAAGATATATCGGAAGCATTTAATCACAACAACGGACTAACTTTGATTGCTAGAGCTCATCAATTGGTTATGGAGGTATATTTTTTTTAATATATAAATACTTATTTTAATTGTTTATTATTTATAAAACATATAAATCTGGAACACGCATTTATTTTATATTTATGTTATTTTCAGGGATACAATTGGTCGCAAGATAGAAATGTTGTTACAATCTTCAGTGCTCCAAATTACTGCTATCGTTGTGGTAATCAAGCTGCCATTATGGAAATAGACGAGCATTTGAAATATACATTGTAAATATAAATTACAATATTTTGCATGTTTATGATTTTAATGCTGATGAATTCTTTTTATTTTATTCTTTTAGCTTGCAATTTGATCCTGCACCCAGAAGGGGTGAACCTCACGTTACTCGTCGAACACCTGATTATTTCTTGTAAACTCTAAATATATACACATATATGCATATATATATATGTGTGTGTGTGATTCATATCGTTGATCGATTTCTTCATGGCTATTTTGCATGTAATTATGAAATTCATTGAAGTATTACGTTTCAATAATATTGAAGCGTATATATGTGTAACCTAATGCATTATGATCATATTGTTCAATCGACTAACGAACAACTATTTATACTGAATTTATTTTGGATTTTTCTTTAATTGTTTGTATAAAATATTTTGATGGGACAGTTACAAAATTTACCATATTTACAATTTGATTTATACGTGTAAGTTTTGTATATTTGCATATTTTAAATTCACTTTTTTTTTCATACAACAGTTAGAATATTTATTAATCTTACCAGATATATTAGGTTTATTTGTATATGTTTAAAAATAATGTGAAGATTATACTAATCTTTGTGGCATTCATAATTTTTTTTTTAAAAAAAAAACATATATCTAGTACATTAAAATAATAAATACATTTTTTAAAAAAAAAAAATTTCACTTTGGTTATTATAAATTTTGAATATGGAGATTCCAACTAAAATTTTAAATTAAAATGTAATAAAAATCTCAATTTGGTTAAAATTTACAGAACCTGATTTTCCTAGAAATCAACCCATATGTTAATTACTATATCGGAGTTTCAACATGCGAGTCCATGCATTTCGTGTCGATCGATCATGTAACTTTAAATTTTTTTGTTTGTACAGTACATTGTTGTCCTCACCTTTTTTTTCTTTTTTATAAAAAAAAAAATGTATGAACAAAAAATTAATGTACTGTTCGTGTGTTTAGGTATTGATATAATAAGAAGAAGCTTTTATTAAAATAATTTTCTATTATACACAATTGTATTTATTAATTTATATATTTTGCATTCTTAGGTAACATTTGTAGAAGGTACGTCAGTTATGGTTATGTTTATTAAATTTAATTTTTTAAGTACTTTTTTTTGTTTTTGAATAGCCCCATGGCTGAAGCAGTATTTAAGGATACAGTTAAACAAAAAGGGTTAGAGTCTCGTTTCAATATTGATAGTGCGGGTACTGGAAATTATCATGTTGGTGAGTTATATAAATAATTCGTTTTTTTTTTTTTTTTTATTTTTTCACTTCAAGAAAATCAAAAGTTTGAAATTTTTTTTTTTTATATTTTTTTTTTAGGCGAAACACCTGATCATCGTTCGATTCAAACATGTAAGCAACATGGGGTTCCCGTAGATCATTATGCAAGGCAGGTTAGTAAAAAATGATTTTTTCTTAAAAAAAAAAAAAAAAAAAAAAAACTATAAATAATTATACATTCCTTTTTTAAGGTTGTAAAGCAAGATTTTAAGGAATTTGATTATATACTTTGCATGGATAATTCAAATTTAACTAGCTTACAAAGAACGAAACCAAAAGATTCGAAAGCTACCAGTAATTATTTATTTGAATTTTTGAATTTTTTACATTTATCGCAAATTTTTTTATTGATGCATTTTTTCTCAAATCTTTTTTTTCAGTTAAATTATTTGGTGAATATGACCCACAAGGGGAACGTTTAATTCAAGGTATTTTCAAAAATTTATTGCGAGGGTTTAAAATTAAATATTTCATATTTATATTCTTTATAATCATAGATCCGTATTATGGAGGAATTGGTGGGTTTGAAAAGAATTTTCAACAAGTAACCAGATGTTCAGAGGCTTTTATAGAAAGTTTGAACTTGGAATGAAACAATAGAAACCCTTTAATTTATCAAATTTATTTTATCATTTGCAATTATAGATTATTAATTACATGGAATCAATATAATCCAATTCTTGAAAACATTATTTATTTGCAATTTAAATAGCAAGTATTACAAGAATTATAATCATTATAATTTTTAAATGTCTGCTTTTCATTCAGTACTGCTGCTGGCAGGTTGTGAAACTGAGGTTTCTTCAGGTGGTTGAAAAGGCAATTTGCATAATTCAAGAAATAAGAATAATGTGTAATGTGCGTCATTTCCTATGAAATAAAAGAGAAGCAAAAAAAAAATATGACATCGTTTATGATATAAACGTGAATATTTGACAAAAAGTTATTTTAAATCACTAACCCGCATTATGTAAACTATAATTCTCAATATTCAGCTCGTCTAACAACTTTCCCAAATTAATTCGTTCGTGCGGCTTTCCAACTCTTGCTGCATTCATTTCAGCTGTATCAAAAATCTCTACAGGTCGAATATCTTCTGAAACGTTAACACCCATATTCTCCAAATACTTGAGATCCATTTCAACACCATGTCCAACAAAGACGACGTTCCCTTTTTCTTGTTCTTCCGTTAAATCTTTCACAATTTCATCTGCAATAGTTTTCGAATTTGCCCATACGGTTTTTCCGAATGAAAATCTATCTTTCATATCCGAAACAAATTTACCATTTTTCAGATGCTTGTATTCGGTCGTACAGAAATGTCGGTCCATATATAAACCGGTCCTTGAATTGAACATGCTCCATCCAACTTCCAAAATACAAGAGTGATCTCGTTCAAAACTTTCAACATCTACGGCTGCGAACAAATATTTCTTTTCCCTGTACATGCTTCGTGCCTGCTCCCACTTTGATTTCATCTTGCAAAGTCTTGCTTCCATACGAACCTTTTTATTATGTTTATCAGTTTCTTTGGTGATTTTGATATAAGCTTTTGGCGAATCAATGAAAATCGCCTCTACATTTTGGTAAGAACCAGCATGAAGAATTGGAACATTTGAAAGCGTTGAAGAAATAAAGGATTCTAATTCGGCACGAACGGAGTTTACAGAGTCCTCAGATAATAACAAGAAGCGATGACCATCATTAGGACCTACACCTTCACCTTTAAGAATAATTTTCAAAATGAAAAGAAAAAAAAAAAATACATAAAAAGAAATATCATCATAAACTTTTGCGATAAAATGATATTGACAAAACATTAAATCGTATAACTATAAGATAACTTACCAAGAAAGAATTCTAATGTCGCGTGTCTAGCAAAAAAGTAACTGGGAGTAAAATATGTATCGATTTTCTTTGCTAATTCGTCATTTTTTACACTTTTTTTCCAGAACTTGCTAATAGACCTGAATTGAAACAACGGGACTTCTGGCATATTATGTCAAATAATAATAATAATAATTTCGCGTGCCTGAAAAAAGTTTTTGAAGTGGTGGTAAAAAAAAAAAATAAAAAAAAAATTGAAAAAATTAAAAAAGATATTGTTCGGTTTAAAATGGAATTTCACGATGAACGTCTGTGCCTCAGTGGCGATTCACCCGGCTAAAACATCTAACTTGCATGATGTACGTGATACAGATTATGAAATAATCCACGTTTTATATCAATTAGGAAATCAAAAAAATTCAAAAAATAATTTGTTTCCCGTTCTCACGTTTATAATGAATTCGGAGATAGGTCAATGGTGCTTGATAGAATCGGATCCAGTAAGGATCTAGTAGTTTATTATCTATTCGAAACAGAATTTTCTATCGTATAATCACTAATAGTTTTTGCTTATATTATTATAATTATTATTAGGGTATTTTTTTTATCTTCCTTCTTACATTTTGACTAAATCCATCTTGACCTTGACATTTAAAATTACGCCTTCAAATTCTTAGGTGTATTTACAGAATTAATTCGTGCTTTTAATGTACACGGGACTCAAGTTGAGGAAGTCTGGAGCTTAGATACATTAGAAGACCTAAAGTATATTAATTATGTCGATTTATTTAAATTCATTTAAACCGATTTGATATTGATTTTTACCTGTTTTAAATAATTGGCTAGGCCAATTTATGGTTTGATTTTTCTTTTCAAGTGGCAAGGCGGTAATGACAGCTCTAGGTTACATCCAGACGCGGATCTTAGTATCGATGAGAATGTATACTTCGCAAAACAAGTAATATTTCTTGATAATTTTCATGAATTCATCTTGATTTATTATATATATTTATCAACTTTATTTATTAATCTTTTTTATCAGGTTATTCATAATGCATGTGCTACTCAAGCAATTTTATCTATTTTATTGAATTGCCCTATGATTAATTTAGGAACTGATTTAGAATCATTTAAAGATTTCACTAAAGAATTTGATCCGGATGTGAGTTGTCTTAGCTTTTATACCATATCAAAAAAAAACCCCTTTTACAAATAGATAGTTTGGTTATTTATTATTTTTGCTTAAATATATTTTTAGAACAAAGGGTTAGCGATGTCCAATAGTGAGCTTATTCGCGGTGTTCATAATAGTTTTGCTCGTTCTGATCCGTTCATGATGGATTCATCCGGTTCATCCTCTTCTGAGAAGGAAGATATTTTTCATTTTATCTCGTATGTTCCAATTCAAGGAGCTTTATACGAGTTAGATGGGTTAAGTGCTGGGCCAGTGAATTTGGGTAAATGCGAGATTTTTTTTTTTGGAATATAAAAGTTTATAATAACGTATTTTAATGGTATTCCTTTAATATTAAAATAGGTCCATGTACAGAAGATAATTGGCTTGAAAAGGTTCGCCCTGTTATAGAGGAAAGGATGGCGCGTTATACATCCTCGGAAATTCGATTTAATTTGTTAGCACTCATTAAAAATCGCGACGAAGTGTATCGAACTCGAATTCAGGAAATTGAAGGAAGACTCCACCATGCAAATGATACTAACAATTCTCTGGAACTTATGCAATTACGTGATGAAAGGGAAGATTTATTGCGCCAAATTGAATTTGAAAGAATTAAATTTAAAAGATACGAGGTAAATAATTTTTACTAATATTTATTTTTCATCCGTGGTTTCTGATTACTTACCTTTTCTTGAATTTGTTAGCGCGAAAATTCATTACGGAAACATAACTTCATTCCATTTATATATAATATGATCAGAATTCTGGCAGAGCGTGGTGAGTTACAAGCACGCATTGAATACGCTCGAAAAGAGACGACAAAGAGAATTAGGGAGCGCAGAAGAGAGTAGCATCATCTAATTATGAAAATTTAAGAATTAAATTAATAATAAATTGATGAATATAGACTAAAAATTATGTAGTCATAGTTTGAGCAAAAAAAGTTTTTTTTTTTTTTTTTTTTTGCAAATTTCAAATGATGTTCTCGAAAGCAAAGTTCAATTCTTAATTTTGTCGGGTGATTAGATCGGATTGGATATTCTGACTCTCGGCAGTCTTTCCTAATATTTCATCTTGGGACAAAATTAGAACTGATGATACACGTGATTGATTATCAAGAGATAAGAGAGAATTAAATGTGAAATCCTCTGAATTAATAAAAATGAATGTAGAAAAATTATATCAAACATTAAACAAAATTCTCGATAAGCATGAGATGTAATGTAAAGGAGTTGTTTTTAATTTTTAATTTATTTTTTCATATTCTTTTATTGAAAAAATACTTTCTCTTATAGACATGAAATAGGGTTATTACCATATCAAAGTACACAACCGAATGATGAATATTATCCGTTTCTTTTCATTGAATCGAATCTTGGAATACCTTTAGAATATGTCGATAAAATATATAAATATGCTCATGGCATATTTATGAATGCTCGCGGTGGTATTGCTGAGACCAAAGATACCGTTAAATCATTAAAAGAATCAACCAGATGTATGTTACTTATAAATGCTGATTGTTATTCTGCTCTTAATACGAGGTACCTTTCAAGGGACTAGTTTCTTTTTTCACTTTTCACTCGTAAATAAATAAATAAATATATATATATAAAAAAGACTTGAACAAATCGTAAACGATTATTATTATCTAATCATATCATTATATTAATAATAATAATTATAAAAAAAGAAAGAAATTCATTATAGGTAATCACCTTGACCCAATAAATGAATTGAAATTTATAGATTTATTATTCACTTTACCAAAACATACTAAACATTCAACGATTTGGTTTCACAGGTATTTTAAGTAATTTACCCCCTTTTTTTTTAATTAACCCAAATTTTATGTAAATAAATAAATAAATATATAATTTTTTTTTAGAAAATGGATAGTTTTAAAGATTCATCAACATTATTCTTCTGATGATCATCTCTCATCATGGCAACATGAGATCGTTATAACTCGTCGCGTGGCAGAATTATATCCAAAAAATTATTACGCTTGGACGTATAGGCACTGGATTTTACTAAATATATCAAATAATTCGTTACAATCAAAATTATTTTTTGATGAAGAATTAACAATTATGAAAAGTTGGGTACAAAAAAATATATCTGATTATTCCGGATTTCAACATTTACAAAGGTGTTTAATTAGGTTAAGCAAATGTTATGATAATTCTTTTAATGATCTTGATGGTATATCAAGGAAAGATATATTGGAGAAATTTAATTTTCAATTCCAAAATCAGGGTTTAAAGAATGATAATAATTCAAACTTAATTGTACTTCTTTGGTATAGAGAAATCCAATTTACAAAAGATCTTATTTTAAGATACCCCGGTCATGAATCACCGTGGTATCATTTAAGATTTTTATCATTTGGTTGGAACTGGTTGAAATTATCAGGTTATTTAGGGTTGAATAATTCGATAGAATTTAAATGTGTGGATGATGATAAGGAAATAGATCAACAAAATTATAATCCTATTGTAAAAGAATGGCCAGATTTAGAAAAAGATTTGGAGTTCTCACGCTATTGTATTCGTCAAGTTGATTTAATGATAATAAATCAAGATAATAATGAAAGGCTTGAATCAATGGTTATTCAAAAACAAAATGCGTTGGCTTTTGAATTATGGATTTCCGAATTGGTATGTAACTTTTATATTTATGATGATTCACCTTTACCAATTGATTCATTATTTTTTTCATTTCTGATTTTTTACATCCAGTACGGCAGGACAAGAGATGATATTGATGTTAAAGAGTTGATTGCAAAATTGGCCAACATTTCTATGAATTCAAATTATTATATTGTTCAAAACAAATGATTTATATTTAAAAATATTTTTAAGTAATTATTATCAATAATTTATTACACGTGTAATTTAAACACCATTTTATTAATTCCTAGTTCATTGGACCTCTAACTTTCTTAATATGTACGCATATAAATAAAAAATATTTGAAATTAAGCGATCAACCAAAAAATAATTCGACGCCACCAATTAACCGGTAACCAGTGAAAAGAAGCGATTTCAACACCTTATATATATATATTTTATATAGTTCCCTAAATATTGGGATTTCCTTTTTTTTTTTTTTTTAATAAAAAAATATTTATATATTTCAGGGAATTAAATGACACAAACTTGCCACGTTATAACAAAAAAATTTTCATTTCTTTCCACGATCTTTAATAGCTAATCCAATAATAACTCCATCTTCCATATTATAATAAGCTAACGAAAGCTGATTTTTCATTACTGCGCCTCCAATCATAAGTTTTTGTCTGCCTGCAGGGAAATTTAATCGTGCAGCGATCTTGTCCTTTACTGTAGATACGAATGTGTTTAGTGGTAAATTGTCTAAAACGATGGTTTGACCTTGACAATTCCATTCAGGTTTTTCAGGAATCGTTGGACAATGAATTTGTACATTAATAGGACCCTAATATTAATTATATTACACGTTAGTTTTTTAAATGTTATGTAAGGTTATAAATAGATTAAATATATATTACAGGATGTGACTCTATCCATTCTTCTACGGATAAAAGACTTCCAATCGAAATAAGATTTTCCATTTTCTGTCGTTTAGTCATATAGGATAATTCGGTTTCATCTTCGATAGTTCGACCAATTTTAGATGAAGGAACTGGAGGTATAGGAGGTGTTGGAGGTGCCGGCGGAGATGATCCCATCGCTAGCGGTAAAGGTGGAACTGGCGCAGAAGATCCTGACATACCTGAAGGCTGGTTAGGTCTATGAATTTGTTGTGGAATAGGTGGACGAGCTTGAGATGATTGTTGTGAAGTAGAACTTGTACCTTGCGTTGAAATATATCCAGGAAGTTGATGGGCAAACGGTGCAGAAGAAGATACGTAGCCAGGATATGGTGCAGGTGGAAGGCCCGACGGCATTCCCGGAGCACCTTGAGAATGGGTAGGATATCCAGGATAAACAGGTTGTTGCGAAGGATGCTGCATTCCTTGTTGATGTGGATGTTGATGGTGCAATTGGTGATGTTGATGCGAGTGATCTTGCATTTGGGGAATTTTTGGACCGATTTTGGAATCGCTATCGCTAGGTAAATGAAAGACTGAATGTATTAAAAAGTAATTAAAATTTTGTACATAAAATTTTATGATTACCTTGTCAAGCCCTTACTCCTATGAATTGCGGCGATCTGTTCATCAATAGAAACGCCGGCAGCTGCACGCTGAGTAGCCATATTGATTGAAGCTGTATGACCATCCCATACAACCTTTTCCTTTTCGATCCTTTTTTTCTTTTCCTCCTCCTCACCAATCTATTATAGCTAATTGGTATTAATGCTCATAAAAAAATAAAAAATAAAAAAAAATATTGAATTACCTTCCGTCCAATTTCAGTTTCTTCATTACCAAAAATATCGGATCGATAGCCAGAAAATGCCTTGAGATTTTTTGCAACATCCGTACCTAAATAATAATATTTGTAATTAATTCAATAATTATTGAAAATATTATATAATATATATATATATATATATATATAAAACACATAAAAACCTTCTTGTAATAAATTTGATTCTTTCTTTTTTAATTCCGCTGCTAATTTTTGTTCTCTCCATTTTGGATCTAATAGTTCAATACGAACATGGTCATCCATTTCGTCGACAGGTATAACCTGTTTACATCTAGGGCAAATAACTGTTGGTCTGTCAACAGACGTTTTAAGAGCATATGCTAAAATACAATAATAAATTAAGTTAAGCAAACATAATGAAACCAATTAAAAATTGAGGAAATGAAATGAAACATACCTTTAGGAGTATAATCTTTAACGATTTTCATTGGCGCAGAAGCATCTGGTGGTTTAATCTCCATCATTACTGGTGTGGTATCTTGCTCTTGGTCTTCTTTTTCTGCATCATCATCTTCCATATCTACATCATCGTCCATCTATAAAAACGTTTATCAGAAAAAAGAAAAACTCAAAAGGGCGCATATAAACTATTCAGTACAAACCTCCATATCAATTTCACCGGCTTTCTCATCTGGCTGAGATTCTGCTAAATTAACCAAGGCCATCTTCTTCTGAGCAAGAGTCATGTTTTCAAGTTCCATAATGCTCATTGGAGGTGGAAGATCGATCGTCTCATCGGCTTCCGTAAACTCTACAGTTTCCACTATAACAAAGTCATGCCAATCTATAGAGGCGTATGCGACTATAAGAAAGATAAGATAATTAATTATCTACCTTTTTCTTCTAAAATTTTGTAAGTAAAGTAGTCTCTTACTTCTCTCTTGATCTTCCTTCTCCTCGGCCTTTTTCCTTTCTTCCTCTTGATAAGCAGCATACTCGACTCGTTGCATTACACGATCAAGAATTTGATATTTGTTATCTACGTTATATCTCAATTTTTCATTTAAATTTTTTGGTGGAATTAATACTTTTGTATACTGCTCTACTAGTTTTGTGAAGTAATTAAATAAACTATGATTTGGCCGTAAAAAATCAAATTGATAATTTCGCTGTTCACGTTGCGAAAGAGCAGTCATAAATTGTCTTCCGTTACGTGCTACGAATTGTGCTGTCAATTTCAAAATGTCCCTGAAAAGGAAGGTGTAATTTAACATAAATATATATATATTAATTATAAACAGAAAGATTGTCAACATACAGATCTTGTGCGGAAATAGCAGGCATGTCGGTCATGAATTCAAAAGAAGGTGGTTCTTTTGGTGGGATCTTTGGTGGAGGAAGAACATCTTTAACTTCTTGAACAACTTCTTTTGCTTCAACTTTTTTAGGAACTACAATCATAAAGGGTATAATTAATTGGCTTATTTCATAAGAAAGAAACACCGAGCAGTAAAACCAATACCTTTTCCTTCCTTTGTTTCAGCAATTTTGTATTGATAGTAAGCATGATAAGGATCGTTAGGGTTTAAAAAGCTGAACTTTGCATTATGTTTTTCATTTTCCCGAATACGCTCTTCGAATTGAACACCGTTTCTTGCGACAAAAATGGCAGTTTTATCAACAATATCTAAAAAATTGATAAAAGTTAAGGACAAGCAAAATACAATTATCTATCATAATGAATGCTTGTTTTGCTAGTGTGATCGTTTCGGAAAACAGCACCTTGTTAGGATTGTCTATTTCGATGCTGAATTGGTTTAAAGTTCTTGTCAAACTTAAAAAAAATGCAAAAGCAATAAACCTATTATAAAAGTAAAAATGCATAGTAAAATAGGATACTTCTTATGTCCGGTGGTGGATATATAATGCCAACAAGTGGTTTAGATTCTTCGTCTTTGTTTATAATCCCACTTCCTGTATCTAAGAAATTCACCGAATCTGTTACATTTGACAAAGTTTCAGGTTGTAACACGGCAACCATTGTATTTTTTTCGAAAAGATCGCGTGAAAAAGTTAAATCTGAATTTGATCGTGATAGTTCGAACCGACAACCATCATATATTTATTAATTTATAAATTTATAATTTATACGACAATAATATCGACATTATCACATTGTGATATGCAACGTGACGATCTTTGATTTTAATTTCTATATATAAATATTATGTCAAAAGTTGAGGGAAAAAAAAATTTGCACAAATCGCATTAACTATGGAAACCAAGAGCAAGATCAAAAAGCGTAACGTAGAAAGTGTTGAAGCCTCCAATCTAAGAAACATCGAATCTGATCAAACAAAAAGTACACAGGATGAACATTTAAATAAACGGCCAAGAATTGAAGAAACATCTAAAGATAAATCTATTGAAAGTAATCCTTACTTGGCACATTTAAACAAGTCTGTTCGTCCAAATCAAGCAATAAGTACGCTTGACGGTTTTATTCCAGGGAAAACTACTGCTACCCAAGCTCGAAAAGCAGAAGAAGGTTTTTATAATCCATTTAACAACAAAAAATTTAGTCAAAGATATCACGACATTTTGGAGAATCGTCGCAAGTTGCCGGTACATGCGCAAAGACAAGAGTTTCTAGATATGGTTCATAAGAACCAGTTCGTAGTTTTCGTTGGTGAAACCGGATCTGGAAAGACGACACAGTAAGATCTCTTTTTTGGATTTACTTTTTTTAAAAAATCGAAAAATTATCTATAATAAACAATTATTTCTAAATTTAGAATTCCACAGTTTCTTTGTTATGATATCCTTCCTCATTTGAAGAAGAAACAAATTGCCTGCACACAGCCTCGTCGGGTTGCTGCCATGTCAGTTGCTCAGCGTGTTTCTGATGAAATGGATGTGAAACTTGGCGAGGAAGTAGGATACAACATACGTTTTGAAGATTGTTCCGGGCCCAAGACTATTTTGAAGTATTTAACTGATGGTATGCTTCTTCGCGAAGCTATGAATGATCCTAAGTTGGAAAAGTATTCAGCAATTATTCTCGATGAAGCCCATGAGCGTACCTTGGCAACGGATATCCTTATGGGTTTAATGAAACAGGTCAATTTTATAAATAATTAATCATTGAAGCTTTTTAATTCAAGAAACCATAACTTAAAATTTTTTTTTATCGTTACTTTAGATTATTAAAGTCCGTTCGGATTTAAAAGTAATTGTGATGAGTGCTACTCTTGACGCCGAAAAATTTCAAAGATATTTCAATGATGCACCAGTTCTAGTATGTAGGATTTTTTTTGAAAAGTGAAGGTTTATATCACATTGCCTAAACCTATTATTATTTTCTCGCGCATTCAGACCGTTCCTGGACGAACTTTTCCTGTCGAAATTTTTTATACCCCAGAACCTGAACGTGATTATCTCGAAGCCGCTATCCGCACAGTAATGCAGATCCATGCGTGTGAAGATCCAGGAGATATTTTGTTGTTTTTAACGGGTGAAGAAGAAATTGAAAGCGCTTGTCAAAAAATTAAATCTGAGGCAGATGAATTAATGAAACAAACAGAATTAGGACCTTTAAAGGTTCTTCCATTGTATTCTTCCTTGCCTCCTCAGCACCAGCAACGTATTTTTGAAGATGCACCACCAGCACGCACTAAAGGTGGAAAACCCGGTCGTAAGGTTATTGTTTCTACAAACATTGCCGAAACATCCTTGACTATCGATGGTATAGTCTATGTTGTTGATCCCGGTTTCAGTAAGCAAAAGGTATACAACCCTCGTATTCGCGTTGAATCCCTACTAGTTAGTCCAATTAGCAAAGCTTCTGCTCAACAAAGAGCTGGTCGTGCAGGTCGTACTCGTGCTGGGAAATGTTTTCGTCTATATACCGAAAGGGCATTTCTTAAAGAATTACAAGAACAAACTCATCCTGAAATTTTAAGGAGCAATCTAGGTAGCGTTGTTCTCCAATTAAAAAAACTTGGTATAGATGATCTCGTACATTTTGATTTCATGGACCCTCCAGGTAATTAATTATAAATGTTGATCACACTTTTTTCTTACAAAAAAAAAATTATTTTTAATATATTTATTATAAATTAGCCCCAGAAACATTGATGCGAGCACTTGAACTTCTGAATTATCTCGGGGCTCTTAGTGATGAAGGTGACTTAACTTCCGATGGTCATTTAATGGCCGAGTTTCCACTTGATCCGCAATTATCAAAAATGTTGATAGAGAGCCCAAAATTTAGGTGCTCTAATGAAATTTTATCTATAGCTGCTTTATTATCAGGTAAGATTGATTGATTATTGTTATCAACTTCATACAATTTCTTTAAGACAATTAATAATTTTTTTGTTATAAAAAAACTCTAAGTTCCAAATGTATTCTTGCGACCTAATGATATGAAAAAGCAAGCCGAAGAGGCAAAAGCTAAATTTGCACATGACGAGGGTGATCATTTAACGTTATTGAATGTTTATCATGCTTATAAAGCCGGTGAGTTTCATTGTTGAAGTTATTTTGAATGATTAATTTAGAGTTGTTTCGCATCATAATACTTATTATCATTAGAATTAGGAGACCCGGATTGGTGTTATGACAATTTTTTAAGTAGTAGATCATTGAAGTCGGCCGACAACGTTCGCCAGCAACTTAAACGTATAATGGAACGATGTGATGAAGAACTGGTCAGTACTCCGTTCACGGACAGTAATTACTATCTTAACATACGGAAAGCTTTGACAGCAGGATTCTTTATGCAAGTAGCTCATTTGGAGAAATCGGGTCATTATTTGACATGTAAAGACAATCAGGTACAATGCAACGACAAATTCTTTTATTTTATATTTTATTTTTAATATTTTGTATTTATAATTTTGATTGAATTATAGATTGTTCAACTTCATCCGTCTTCATCTCTTAAACATCAACCTGAATGGGTTTTATATAATGAATTTGTTCTTACAACCAAGAATTATATTCGTACTGTAACTGAAGTTAAAGCTGAATGGTAAGAATAATTTATGAATTATTTTTGATAATTATTTTGAGAAATAATAGATAATAGATAATAATAATAATTCCTTTATAATTCCTTCAGGCTTTTGGACATAGCTCCTTCTTATTATGATCTTAAAAATTTTCCTAATTGTGAAGGAAAACGGGTATTGGAAAAAGCTTTAATGCGTTTCAAATCCAGGAACAGAAAGTGACCATATAAGGTAACCCGTTATGAATGTGTCATACATTTTGTTATTTGGTTAATTAGCGTGTTGTTTTATTTTATTTTATTATTTACTTGTTGCTAAACTAATAATGCTGCTTCCCGTCTAACGAACCTAATGTGATAGAACTGATATATTATACATTTTATATTAAGTAAATATATATTTTATAAATAACTCATTGTTCAAATTGATAGATAAGAATTTAGTTAAATATATATAGGATATGTCGAAAGATGGGTTCTAGAGCTTAGAAATTTGGAATAATCTATACTGCTGCAGAGTTCAATCGATTTTAGCATTAAAGAAAATTTACTAATTGAAAATCAGTAATGGTATTAACGTTGTAGAAAGGTATGATATTTATCTTGCAATTGAATATTTTAACCGTCAATTTAAGCAAGATTACTTCGTTATCACCATATAATCTTTATGAAGGAAGCTGCAACGTAACGTGTATTTGGTAAATATCTCGTTTATAATTTATAACTTTGGTAACGATTATTTCTAGTTATATTTTTTTTTTTTTTTTTTTTGATTTTTTTTAATTAATAATTTGGCTACAGTAATATTTGATAATTATCATGAAAGAAGATTAGCTTCTTCATATCTTGTATTTCGGCATGTTTCCCCCCTCTTTTTTTTGAATATTATATTTAATTGATGTTTTTGAGGGTTGTTGTTGTTGGCTTAATCATAGTTCATTTAGAATTAATAAATGTTTTTGATTCGAATTTGCAATTATGTAATATAGAAGGTTACAGATCATACATAAATTTTTTTACAATTAACTTACCTGTGTCGCCTGCGATATTAAATCCTATTTGTCACCTATTATTTGAATTAGGGTTGCACCATTTTTTGCAGGTCGTCATAATCTGATCTTAAAAAAAAAAAATTAAAATAAAAAATCTTTTAAAATCTTTTTTTTCTCAATTCCTGTAATTACATTTATCCTACTACTTTTGCGTTACTTAAGTAAAAATAATGTCAAGTCTATCTCAAAAACCAAATTCAAATTTAGAATTTGACGAAGCAACACAAAAAGAATTAGGAAAGTTTTTGGAAAGTGAAAATGCACGTATGAGAATACAATCATCAATTCATACATTTACAGATTTATGCTGGGATAAATGTATCAATAAAATCAGTAATAAGATTGATCGTAGTGAAGAAGTGTGCTTAACTAATTGTGTTGAAAGATTTTTGGATACTAGTCTGTTCATTGTTAAGCGCTTGGAAGAAACTAGAAAACAACTTTGAAGAAAGAAGGAAGAGGTGGGTAGATATCAAATCCAGTGTGGATTCATAAAAAATTTTTTTCTTTACTTTACTTTTAATATTATTTTTTTGCACTTAATAGAAAACGCTTTAGCACCACAAGATCTTTTTGACAAAGTACGTTGTTTTGATCCAAGATTTATATACTTAATTTTAAAGGTCTATATGATTCGAAATATTTTTTAAATAATTATTCATTTCTTAATATTTTAATATTAATATTTAATAGATGATAAATTAGTAAAAGTAATGAATGATTCATTTATTTAACTACATTTGATAATTAAAACTTTTATAAAATAAAATAATTTTATAATTATAGTTATTTTATTTTGTAAAATCATAATATTATTATCATAATTCTATAAAAAAGTTAAGAAAAAGATATAGCAAAAGTTATATTACAAAAGTAACTTCGAAGGTGAACTGGTAAATAATAAATCTGTATCGTTCGATTTCAATTGATTTAAAGTACTAAAAAAAAGATGTGATGTCTTTCATTCAAAAACTAATTTATCGATGTGCAGTGTTTTGCAATTTTCTTTACCTAAAGTTAAATGAATAAACAAATAAACAACATTTTTTTTTGGTTTTGCAAATTTTATAAAATTGGGTACACGAAAATTATATTTGATTACAACTATAGTTTTTAGCTAACAAAGTATATCTTGTTAAGAATCTTATTAAATAGTTTACTTTTGATCTCTTAGAACATTTGTATACTAGGAAATGGTGAGACGAGAAAAAGGATTATAATGTATGCTTATAACTGATAAGATTTCCTGCTGAAACTAAAGTGACTTCAATATTTTGTATTTGGACATATATATAGGTGATTATAAACGCCTTATATATTTGAGTCAGTGCCGATCATAACCAAATCAGCAATTAATTTTGCGACGCTACACTTAATGCCATAACACTGGCTAAAATCAACATGAGCGCAAAATTTTGTTGGTGATTTGTGTTTTTCATTTCTGCAAATTTCTTTCTCAATGTGATTATTCTTAATATGTCAGAGCCTAAGACTACACAAAATACGATTTTCATTCCACAAAATCTTTATTATGAAAGTGAGCTTTCACTTCTTTACATCAACTATAGTGCATATAATGTTCTAGACTGATTTATATTTCGTTTGCAAAGAACTGGTTAAATACCAACCTTTAGGATTGGTCTATTGAGTCATTCGACTTATTTTCGATCTAATAAAATCCAATTCTCCATCAAAAGCAAGATCAATCCCATACTTTTTTAACTGCTGAATTGGATATTCTCTTTGAGGCAGCTAATCAAAGGGTGGTAAAAAAAGTACAGAAACAACTTAAGGTTAGTTTATTGTGAAGTAAGGGCATCAAAGATTGCTTATCAGCTTGTAACTATGTCCTTAGTGCTGCTAAGAAATGATTGGATACTGCATAACCTGATGGGAGAAGAAGTGCTATGGCTTCACTTACTGTGATTCTTTCGCATGTTTGAGTTAACTGGGTATACTACGCCTCTCAGTACTGCTGAGGAATAGTTAGATATTACCTAACCTGATGGAGAGGAAAAACACGATGACTTTACTCACTATGATTCTTTCGTATGTATATCCTGCTTACAGGAATGCACAAAAAAATATTGCTGTAAATTTCCTAAAGTTCTACCTCTTTTACTTTTTTTAATTACAAAATAAGAACTCGTTAGGAATCAATAACATTATCTGGAATCAGAACAAAGAGATTGCAGAGTCAAAAGCTAAGATTACAGACAAAATGATATCTGACAAAAAAATTTTAAAAGCAATTTTACCTGATCAAGAAGACAAAAGAGAGGAAGATTCTTTATCACCAATAATTACTTCTGGAAAAGTTATTAAAGCTTATGAAAGTAATTTTATATTTGCAGCAGCAAGAAAAATCTTTTGACATGAAAAAGAAAAAGTTAAGGTCTATTAAAAAGCTTAGAAAAGAAGCTTTAAAATAACAGTTTGTCTCTTCAAAATGATAAATTTATTATTATAATAGAATAGTAATTTAGGGAGTTACATGATAATGTTTACAGTTTTTTATTTTTTTACTTTTTATGAAATAAAATGACATCATAATCACAAAAAATTTTGATATATTGACTAAATAACACCTTTATGATCATGTTAAAATTTTGATAAAATTTTTGTTGAAATTGTGTCGAGAAATCACATTGTTTTTTATTAATTTTTAACCAATTTTTGTTGAACTTGTATTGAAATTGCTTATTGATTTTTTTGCGAATAATTTTATAATGAATTTTTATTTATCATCAAGGTGATGTTTTATTATTGTTAATCTACTCTGATTGTCTGATGTATTATATTTATTAATTTGCATAAGTTATTTTTGAATTGATCTAATTTTTATAAATAATACAATATATTATTATTTTGACTTTTTGTTTTATACAAATCAGAATTTTCAATCACGAAGAGTTCTTTTTGTACTATTTAATCATAAGTTTTGCTTGTTATATTTAGATTGATTTAATTTTTATAAATAATACGATGCACAATTATAATACGATACTTATATTATTATTTTGACTTTTTGTTTTAATACAAATCAGAATTTCAATCAAGATTATTTTATTTCAATTATGAGTAAAGAATTTCACAAGATATCAAATCAAATAGATAAATTTATTTATAAAGAGAAGTATTTTTTACTATCATATAATTTTTCACCTTTTGAAATTTAAATCAACCTTTAAATCACTTTAATTTACTCCTTTAATCATATTTTTTTTACAAATACAAAAATGACTACAAGAATAATTTAGGAAGATAATAAAATTGACTTATTAGTTAAGGAAAGAAAAAGGAGAAATGAATAGTATTATGTAAGATACAAAAGCAATAAGACGGGGTTCTAGAGGAATGTAGCTCAACAAATCAATTGAAGATTTGATATGACATATTTAACTTGCCAATGTGAGTTGAAATGAAAGAATTTAGTACAGAATTACAATGTAAGTAAATAAATGAATAATAATATAATGATAAATATAACTTAACAGTATAATTCATATCTTTTAGGATTTTTGTGATTATTGAAATGGAGCGAGAAGAGATGAGAGGTAAATCTATACTATGGAAAGATTATACAACCTCTTTAGAACTCGATTCTAGGATAGACCAAATAATAATTAAAAAAGTTTAAATGATTTTTTAGATTTATATTAAATATATTTACTTTTTTAGAATTGAGGCACACTCATAGAAGAAATCATAATTTGCTTACTACAAGACAAATACAAAACATAAGGCAAAACTGTGATGAGCCTGTGAGGCAAAACTAAAATAAACGACAAAATCACAATATGCTTACAAGGTAATAAAAATTTCAGTTTTTTTTCTTATTGTTTGTTTAATTTCATTTTTTTCGTATCGTTTATTTTTCTTTTCATATCGTATGTTTAATTTCGTTTTCTTTTTCATTTTTTGTTTCGTTTCATTTTCTTAATTTCATTTTAAAGTTTCTTTCATTTTCTTAATTTTATTTTATAGTTTCTTTTCATTTATTTAATTTCATTTTTTCATTTCGTCTTGTTCACTTAATTTCGTTATAATTTCATTTCAGTTTCTTAATTTCATTTTTTATCTCATTTAGTTTTCTTTTCGTTTCATTTTTATTTTTTCTTTTTTCTTTTATTTTATTTTATTTTTATTTTTTTTAAAAAAAAATTTAAGTAAATTAATAAAACTGTTATACAATGATTAACAGATGCATGTTAAAATAAAATGACTAAAATTTACAAAATAACGTGAAAATATTTCTGAAAAAAATATATCATAGTAAAATTATATTTGTGTAATAAAATCAGTAATCATCTACTACTATAACAAATAATTCATTATAGTGTTAACGAAGATTCTTATAACAAAGTTCTGATCGACTAGATTGGTAATTTTATTATATCGAGGTATAATTGTATTGTGCTTTTTATTTTCTTTTCAAATATTTATATATTTTTGCATTAAATTTTCACATTTTGGTTTTGGATTACATAGTGTAGCTTATTTGTAATATGCATATGCATTACAAAATTCTTGATATAAATCCCGAAGTGGTTTATAAAAAAATTTTTGTTAAAGTTTAGTATCTTCAAAAAGCTTTGCATATTGATTTTTTTTAAAAGAATATAAAGAATGCAAGAACGTGAAAATGTAATTTTTATAATAGATCTTAATAGATTTGCAAAATTATTATCACATTAGGCTAATAACAAATATTATTTCAATTCTGTTAGAAGTTTTTTTTAGCAAAAAAAATTTATTGATCAAAGATAAGTTTATTTATTATTTTATTTATTATTTATTTTTATTTATTTAATTATTATTTATTATTTAACTATTATTTTAATTTATTCAATGATAGAGATCATTATAGTAAATTACTATTACTACTAAGTTCTTACTAAAAAAAATATATCTTTAGAGTTTTTTTTTACTATTATTTTAGAAGTTCTTTATTTTAAAAAAGTTTGTAAATATCTTCAATAAAATTTATAAATTGGATAAATTAACATATAATATATATATAATAATATAAATAATATATATATAATTTTTAGCCAATCAAATTAATTATCAGAAGGTGGATAGGGAATCAGTCTTATAAGTGAAAAAAATCAGCTGATTTCTGATACGTCCTAAGTAACTTAAAAAATAAATATAAATAAATTAAATTAATTAAATTAAAATTATAAAAGTTTTATAAAATTTTAAATTTATTCATCTGGAATATCTAAAAAATCTCTTGTTATTTTTGTTAAATAAGAATATTATGATTCATTTAACTAAAAAAAAATAAAATTAATAAGCTTAAAAATAATATAAAATTATTAATAAAATATATTACTTA